GATAGATAGATAGATAGATAGATAGATAGATAGATAGATAGATAGATAGATAGATTAGATAGATAGATGAGTCGTGGTGGCGCAGTGGTTAGAGTGCAGTACTGCAGGCTATTTTTGCTGACTGCTGGTTGCCTGCAATTTGGCAGTTCAAATCTCACCATGCTCAAGGTTTACTCAGCCTCCCATCCTTCCGAGGTGGATAAAATGAGGACCCAGATTGTTGAGGGCAAGAGGCTGATTCTATAAACCACTTAGACAGGGCTGTAAAGCCCTGTGATATGGTATATAAGTTCTAAATGTTATTGCTATCACAAAAAAGGGCCTTTGAACTCATCCCCTGGACTTCCTGAGGTGGTGGACCATGCAAGTGGAGCTTCTTGGAGAAATTGAAACTGGTTCATGGAGCAGGGAATGAGAAATGGGGAACTGGAGGAGAACATGGCTCCTTCTAGAAGCTGGGAGGTGGCTACTGAGGACAATAATGCCTCCTCTTTGAAGTGATGCGCAGCTCTTGACCATGATCTTTACATCTGCAGTTATCAACGCCTTGTCTCAGCGATATGTCTTGCAAGCCAATGACCAAAAAGATCTACAAGACTGGGTGGAAGCGTTGAACACCGCCAGCAAGATTACGGTAGGTGATCTTCTCTCTTGGCCTCAGCTGGGCTTCCCACTAAAGATCCTCAGAGGAAGGGAGAGAGCAGATCATTTTATCTAGGTGAAGGTTGTATCGTACAGCTGGTCTCCTTGTGTATTTTTTTCAGGAATTGGAGCGGCTTTGTGCCAGGAATGGGGATGCGAGTGAAATTAGGAGTAACTTGGAGTGTAAATTGCAAAGGAGGACGAAGGATTAGATCAGTGATGGCCGAGTGCCGAAAAGCAGGTGTGCAGGCTGTTTGGGGCCACAAACCCGGAAGAGGAGCTGCCCAGGGGGCATGCATGTGCCTGAAAATGGTTTCCGGTGTGCACATGCGCACCCGCCAGCGAGTCTTCCAGTTACTGGCACACATGCACGTGTGACGATCATCCGGCCAGGGCACATGCTCACGCTGGAAAACGGAAGACCAGCTCTTCCAGTTTCTGGCACTGCCACATGCACAAAGGCCAGCTGATGATCACGCGTGCCAGAAACCCGGAAGAGGAATGGGTGATGCCACGTGGGCCAGATGACATGGCTCCGTGTGCCACGGAGGCACGCGTGTCGTGGGTTCGTCATCACGGGATTAGATAATTACCCCAATCAAGGCATCAAAGATAACTGTGACCCTAATTTGAAGTCCAGTCAGGGTTGAAGCTTCCATATGGAGAAATCACTACTTAGAATTGTCCATCTTCTCTTTTTCTACCTGTTTCATATTTTCTGTGGGGCCCTGGTTTTGGGCCAGAATACCAACTGCCTTTAGGGCTAGATCCAGAGATAGGCTTCTTGGGGGGGGGGGTGTTTCGCATGGGTTCGGGCAATCCTCTAGCTAGGATTCTGTCCAGTTCAGTGAACCCCTAAATGCCAGCCCTGGCTGGCCACACCCACTCCATCCCTTCCAGGAGTCTCTATGTGGCCAGTTCATCATGCCAGATAAGTGTAGGTCCCATGCGGAGGCTCAGGGAGGGGGGAAAATGGGCCCACCAGAGGTTCCGGAAGTCTGGAAACGGGCCTGTTTCTGGCTTCCGGAGTCCAAGGGGAAGCAATTTTTGACCTCCCGGAGGCTCGAAAGAAACCTACAGAGCCTGGGGAGGGTGAAGAACGCCTTCCTTTCCCCCCATGGTGCAGGAGGCTGACTAGGCCACGCTCTCCATGTCCACGTCCACCCAGCAAAGGGGGAGTGAACCCGTTGCTGCAATTTTTGAAGCCCACCCCTGGCTACATTGGCCCCTCGGCCTCTCATAAGTCAGGGGTGTCCAAACCTGGGAACTTTAAGACTTGTGGACTTCAGCTGGCTGGGGAATCCTGGGAGCTGAAGTCCACAAGTCTTAAAGTTCCCAAGTTTGGACACTCCTGGCATAGGTGATTCAACTCCCTTGGAGTTGTTGGGGGAGAAGTAGGGTTTAAAATTCCTCCACTGAAGCATGGAAGGAACTGGCTGAAATAATAGCATTTTCTTCCAGGTGAGATCACCCCATCAAGCAACCACAATCACCACATCATACTTTGTTTCATGGTACGGATATGTCCACAGGTCCACATGGCTGTACCTGGCGCTTGGCTTTTGCCAACTCTCTGTTACCTACCTGGAAGGCCATCTTCTTCCCTGGCCTCTGTTCTGAGGAGCTCTGAGATTTCTTGGAAATGTTCTGGTGGTTGTCCTGCCTCTTTCCTAAGAGAGAGCTGTTGCGGGTTTTGTTTTGTGGTTGTTGCGACTGGTCTTTCCCATTGCTATGTAAGTAAACTGGGAAGAAGAATCTGGAGAGGACCCAAAGGATGCGAGAGTTGAAGGACCTCTCAATGAAACTTTAACTGGGCAATCATCCTGTCTTGTTGGGCAGCACAGTAGCTTAGGGGTTAAGATGCTGGGCTTGTTAGCTGGAAAAACGGGAGCCCAGGTTTGAGACCTGTGATGGGGTGAGCTCCGGTCCTCGCCCCAGCTTCTACCAACCTAGCAGATCGAAAGCATGCAAATGTGAGTAGATAAATAGGTACCACTTTGGTGGGAAGGTAACAGCTGGCCACTTGACTGTGGAAGTCTTCAGAAAGCATTGGCTCAATGGCCTTGAAATGGGGATGAACATCACTCCCTATATTTAACAGATTAACAGAGTTGGAAGGGACCTTATTGGTCATCTAGTCCAACCCTCCCCCCCCTGCCAAGCAGGAGACCCTACACCTTAATTCTCACATTGCCAATGACAATGAAAAATCCAACATTCAATTTGGCAAAGTGTAGCCAAATATAGGGAGGAGTAAAACGTGCAAGGACTCCTTTACCTTTTCACCTGCCTTGTTAGACAGCTTGTATTAGGGTGTGTACGTATGCAGGTGACTCTGTCTTCCATAGATTACATTCACTTGTTTCTTACCACTTCAGAGCAGAAAACTATAAAATGCATGCAGAGCAATCCCACTGTGTATTTTTCCCCCTCTATTCTACAAAGAGTGCAGAGGAGAACAGCCAGGTTGTTTAGGGGACTGGAGGCTAAAACATACGATGAACGGTTGCAGGAACTGACTAAGGGAAACATGAGAGCAGTCTTCCAATATTTGAGGGGCTGCCACAGAGAGGAGGGAGTCTAGCTGTTCTCCAAAGCACCCGAAGGGCCAGACAAGGAATAATGGATGGAAACTGAACAAGGAGAGATTCAATCTAGAAATAAGGGGAAAAAATTTGACAGTGAGAGCAATCAACCAATGGAACAGAAGTTGCCTTCTAAAATTGTGGGAGCTTCATCCCTGGAGGATTTCAAGAAGAGACTGAACTGCCTTGTGTCAGAAATGGTATAGGGTCTCCTGCTTGGGCGGAGGGTTGGACTACATGACCTATAAGGTCCCTTCCAACTCTGGTAGTCCATAATCTCCTGTCCAGTATTTTTGCTGCATTGAAAATCTGTGTCACAGAATGGTAGCCAAGCCCAAACACAGGCAAGGCAGCCTGGCAGATTGGAGGTGCCACCTCCCCTCAAAGTCTGGACTACCCAGACTAGCTTTTGTGCCTACTTTTATCACAACTCCACTCTGCACTTCCACCGAACCTGGGAAGGAACATCTTCCAAATACAGAAAAAGTCTTTGCAGCCTCAGTATACAGTCTGTCTGATTTTATTCCTACTGCTGAATAGAATAGAACAGAATAGAATAGAATAGAATAGAATAGAATAGAATAGAATAGAATAAGAGAGTTGGAGGGGACCTTGGAGGTCTTCTAGTCCAACCACCTGCTTAGGCAGGAAACCCTATACCACTTCAGACAAATGATTGTCCAACATCTTAAAAACTTCCAGTGTTGGGGCATTCACAACTTCTGGAGGCAAGTTGTTCCACTGATTAATTGTTCTCACCATCAGCAAATGTCTCCTTAGTTCTAGGTTGCTTCTCTCCTTGATGTTGTAACCTACCTCAGCCGCTTGTGAAACAAGAAGTTAGACTGTTACAGGTTTACTTCCCGTTTCTGCAGGTGGCTTCCCCTTGAATTAGCCAAGCTTGACTTTTCACAATGGCAACCAGAGTGATGAATCGGAGAGACGTTTGGCTAGTCAAGCCAAAACAGAACTGATACATAGCACATTATACAGCACAGGAAGTCATTGTGCTCACCCATACATTTCATGTGATGCTCCATTAACCATTTATGGAAGACACCGATGTGCGATGTCATCCTTAACTTGCCATTGGCCAACCACAAAGGCAGCTGCTGCCCTTTTGTTGTTGTTGTTTTTGTTGTTGCATCAAAAATTGTGTTCTCCAACTTCAGCAATGCTTTGTTTTTTTGAAGGCAGGGTCTCCACCCAATTGGCTGTTGCAGCCACATTCCCCTCCATCCTGATAGATGCTCTTGATGGCCATTCCATGTCAGGCCCCCTCTCTGCCTCTGACACAGAGCCCTCATCAGAGCCTTCCCCAGACTCAGGGACTGGCCCATTTTCCTCCCCAACCTCCTCACTGTCTGAGTCTGCTCCACTGGCGGGCCACAACAAAGCCAAAGTTACATTCTTTTCCACATCAAGCATGAAGTTCAGAAGTGGTTTCCAGGTGGAAACAAAAGTACTTATGTTCTTTAATCAGAGTAGTCTGTAATCATTGTTATTTATTTTGTACAATAGCAATAAAGACTATACTACTAGTCAGTTTTCCCATTTCAGCCAACTCCCCCAATTTCTGCAGCCATTCTTCCATGGTGGGTATCAAAGTGTCTTTCCATTTTTTCCAGTATTGCTGCTGTCAACATATGTAGTACATATGAGTGGTGCACTAACCTCTAAGGCCAGACAGTGGTAGCCAGAGAGAAGGCAATGGGCTCAGGGGTTCCAATTGCCGCAGGTCACAGAACTGAGCATTCCTTAACACTCAGCTTGTAGTCTTTGCTGCTGCATTGGTTTGTTTGAGATGGAAGTATGAGATAGAATTGTAGGTTGATCTGGCAGGTTGACTCAGTTTTTGGCTCTGAATCACCTCCCATCATTGCTTTGGTACCAGATTTTCAATTGGCTTTGAACTTTTCTGATGCATGGATGCTTCAGTGTGGTTTGAGGCTGCTCCATGCTGGATCAGGTGCAGAAGGAGGGTGTTAGCCTAGTTAAAAGCCAGTTTTACCAGCCCGGCCCTTTGCCACCCAGCATCAGACACTAAACTGTAGCTAAGAATTGAATAGAATAGAATAATAGAACAGAACAGAACAGAATAGAATAGAATTCTTTATTGTCCACATGTGACTGGACACACAAGGAATTTGTCTTTGGTGTACATAAAGAGATTAAAATATATTGATCAAGAATCAAAAGATTCAACACTTAGTGATAGTCAAAGTTACTAATAAGCTATCAGACCATACTAGGAAACAAATAAAATAATATAAATTTTAAAGATACAAGCAACATGGTTATAGTCGTAAGTGGGAAGAGATAGATACTAGCAGTAAGGAAGAGAAAAATAATAGTAATACAGTCTTAGTAAATTATTTGAAAGTGTTGTGGGAATTAGTTGTTAAAC